TATAAATAGAAACTTCTTCAGAAAGGCTCTGTCGGCTCAGTAGGACACTCCTAGGGAGAAAAAGAGGGGATAAGGGCTGGGAGAGGAAGACATAATTATAAAATGAAATGGGAACCAGGGGTGGGGTGGATAAACTGTTTGACATATGGATCCTCCTTTTTGCAGGAATAACCCCCAATCAGCCTGAAGGCGACTTCTTCCAAGGGAGAGATCAAATCAGCAATTGGCAAGAAGCAGTGCTACTCTACTGATGCTTCAAATTGTTTCCACTTACTAAAGATTTCAATGCCGAACACAAATTCCAGCTCCCTGGAGAGTACTTGTGTGGAGAAAAAAAAATCATGTCACTGCAGGAGTAACTCCTCTACAGCCACCCAGATGGGGTGCTTTGAGAAAAAGCTTTTTGTCAGCTTCCCACAGCTCTGTGCCTCAGTGAGTCACAACCAATAATGCCCTCCCCCAATAAAGCAGCAGGGTACCAAGAAGGCCAATTCTTCCCTACTCCTTTTTTTCCTATATATATTTTTGTGCACTGATCAGTAAACTACCATTTTTCCATCACTAGACCTATTAGTATCTACATAGCTATAAAATAGTGTTCCAGCATAGGCCTTAGTAGGTTCTTCCAGGATTCAACCTGTACTGCCTTGCTGCCTGCCTAAGCCGGTTCTCTCTTCTACTTCCCCTCAGTGAAGTCAGAAAACAGCATTCATTCTTTCATTGTCCCAAGTATTGTGGAAAGCATCAAGGATATAGTGTATTTGACCTTAGGAGAGTACAGCTCAGTGAGGAAGATAGGGATTAAACAAGTTATCCCCATTGTAATGAAATATTTAATATGATAAGTATGACAGAACATGAGATGTCCAAAAGAAACTGTCCAATGGGACCTGACTGAGTGTGAGCAAAACTTTCACAAGGGGCTGGGGATGTGGCTGAAGCGGTAGCGCGCTCGCCTGGCATGCGTGCAGCCGGAGTTCGATCCTCAGCACCACATACAAAGATGTTGTGTCCGCCGAAAACTAAAAAATAAAAAAAATTCTCTTTAAAAAAAAAAAAAAAACAACTTTCACAAGCAAGGCACCATTCAAGCTGAAATCCGAAGGATGAGCAGCAGAGGCGGCGAAGGAGAGAGAGCACCCAAGGAGGTGGAGGAGCCTATGTGGGAATGCTGAAAGCAGGAGGGACCCAGGTTCCTAAACCAATAGAAGGAAGAACAGAGAATCAGGGGACAGGGGCAGTGGGAGGTCTCAAGATGACCATGAGGCAGGGCTTCATCTTAAATATGACATCTTCAACACTGAGGACAGTTCTAAGACAATAGGAAGCCAGTAAATGTGATTCTGAAGAGCAATATACTCAGGGTTTCGTTGTTGTTATTTGAGAAACATCACTCAGCACTAAGGGAAAATCTAGTTCCTCAAGGCACAAGTCATCAAATAACCCTGTACCTCTCCCCTGCTTGGTCTCACCTGTACATATTGTACATTCCATTTTCTAAGTAGATCTTGACTTTCAGTTGTTTGCATTACCACTAAAATCACCCTAATCCAAGCTGGTCAATAAACCAACACCAAGAATTTCTATATTCTGAGCCCCGATAAGGCCTTGAAGTTGAGGTTGAAGATGATATGAAAAAAGAAGGAATAATAATCTTTGTTGTTCAGATATCCATCAATCTAAATGAAACAGATGAAGGATACATGCCATGGATAAAGAGTACAATGGTTTATTTTATTTGTCACTTGGTTAAGCCACAAGGTGCCCACGTACTTGGTTAAACATTTTTTAAGGGGTGTGGTACGAAAGTATTTCTGGATGGTAGTAACACTTGAATCAGAAGACAGAATAAAGCAGATTTCTCTCCCCAATATCAGTGGGCCTCACCCAATGCTTTCAAGGCCTAAATAGAATAAATAAAAGGTCAACAAAATATTTTTTTTTTGAGAGAGAGAGAGAGAGAGAGAGAATTTCTTAGTATTTATTTTTTAGTTTTTCGGCGGACACAACATCTTTGTTTGTATGTGGTGCTAAGGATCCAACCCGGGTGGCACGCATGCCAGGCGAGCACGCTACCACGTGAGCCACATCTCCAGCCAGAGAAAAATATTCTTTCCTSGGTGTGGCTGGGACACAGACCTTCTCTAGAAGACAAACTTCAGACAGACTGAAACTTACACCATGTCAGCTCTCCCGAGTCTCAGCTTCCATAATCATGAATTAATTCTGTAAACTAAATTTTGTCTTGCACATATGTGCATACACTCCTTATTGGTTCTGTGTCTTGGGAGAATCCTGAATAATTCTGAGGATGTGGGGGACACATCCTTGCTTGCGAAACTTTTACTCATCTTCTTCATTCAGTTCGCAATGAATTCACAATGTGATTACACTATCAAATGAGCTGGGGAGACTCAAGTCAGATCTAATTAGGTACCAAGAGGGCATTAAATCTTTATTTGGATTTTGGAAGAAGTAAGGGAAACAGAAGCTTAAAAAAAAAAAATCAAGAAGTTGTGTGCGTTTAGAAGGCCAGTTTGTTTTTTGGCAAAGGAAAACAGATTTTCTCCTGAACTATTCAAGGAGGAGGGTAGTAGAGGAAGATTCTGAACAGTGAAAGAAGACCTGAAAAAACAAACAAAAAACCAAAAAAAACTCCAACTTGGGAGCAATTAATTGTACAGTGATATATTGAGAGTAACTCAGATAAACAATGTGCATAAAAAACAGGATCCTGATCCTGTAACTCAAGGAGGACACCATCTAAAAAGCTATCAATTCCCAGACTCCTAAGAGAAAAGATAGGTGAAAAAATTTCTATAAAATAGGTTCTAAATAAATTTGTAAACTGAACACAACATTTGCAGCAAGTAAGGCAAATATCTCACTAAACATGCATATAAAAATTTCTCTGTACCTCCTCAACACCTGAACCATGGACAGAAGTTTAAATAAGGAATATACATGCGAGTCCTGGGGTACACTCTCAATGCTTCATCCAGTGAAGCATACTACAGTTTGGTTATTGCTTCAATGTTTTAGGTTTTTAAAAAATGCAGTAATAGCATAAACTATGACTCAAAGGCCACAGAACCCCGCTTAACATTACATTCAAGGTGAAAGTTGGACCATTGATTAAACACAGAAACATGGCTTCAGACAGGACTGAAAAGATTTAAATATGCTCATGCATATTTAAATTCCTTCAAATGTGTTTTCAGTAGGTACTTTGGATCAGTCTTCATTGAAATAACTGTCTATTTGTACTCTAACTATATAGATACATACTCAAGCGTACTCTGTTTTAGAGAGAGAGAGAGAGAGAGAGAAAGTGTGTGTGTGTGTGTGTGTGTGTGTGTGTGTGTGCGCGCGCGCATGCGTGTATGCGTGTGCGTTTTAATCTACTGCTGTAGTTGTATGTACTGGGGGGAATTTACCTATGTGAATCATTTTTCCCCATAAATGTCTTCTGTTTTATAATCTGTCACAAAGATTGATACTAGCTTATTTCTTTTTAGCTACTTTTCTTCATGGCTAGTAGAATATTGCTGCATATTTAGAAGGAGTGATTTCCTATAAGATTCTAATACATCCTGTACCACACTTACAAGATAAAGTGTGTGCTCATTTTTTAAAAAATCACTTAAAATATATGTGTGAAGTTCTTAATTTTCCCACAGAATTGGAGTGTATATTAAAACTTTAGCTTTCTTTTTTTTTTAAAAAAAGAGGGGTGGAGGGTGGCACTTCTATCTACAGTACCTATTAGTTTAAAAATAATCATACCACTTAGTATTGGCAAGGGTTTCCCACACAGTGTTTAGAGGATATTAAATTGATATATTTTGTCTAYAGTGTGGATACTAGTTGATATGCAGGATGCAAAACCTAAAAGATGAGAAGACTTTACCCAGGCAATTTTACCTATGATAATTTACCTTGGTTATGATATTCACATCAATTAAATTGACAGTTGAAAAAAATGTAAATATATGATTAATAAGAGAAAAATTAAGTTAATATGGATATGCCATAATTTAAACTCTTATAGCCATTAAAAGGGATTGTTAGAAATACATTCAGCAATTTGGAAAAGTGGTCCCAATACAACAATCTCTCTGGATTGTTTTCTTTAAATGTTACCTGTGCATACACAGAAAAAAGTGAGTGTTAACATAATGATTATTCAAGAGATATTTTTCTCTTTTCTTGTCTGAATTTTATAATTTTTATAAAACAAAACACGTATGGCTAAAATTAGCATATTACAGTGATACAGCCACATCAATGTTTATAGTAGCTCAATTCACAATAGCTAGACTATGGAACCAACCTAGGTGTCCTTCAACAGATAAATGAATTTTAAAAATGTGGTAAATACACAATAGAGTATTACTGTACCTTAAAGAAGAATGAAATTTGCAGTAAACAGATATAGCTGGAGAACATTATGCTAAGTGAAATAAGCCAATCCTAAAAAAACAACAGCGGAATGTTTTCTCTGATATGTAGAAGCTAATTCACAATGGGGGGCAGATAGGGAATAATAGAGTTACTTCAGATTAGGTAGAGGGGAGTGAATGGAGGGGAAGGAGATATGGGGGTAGAATAGTAGAATGAATCATACATTATTATCCTATGTACACATATGACTATATGACCTGATTCTACTTCATGTACAACCAGAAAAATGAGAAATCATACTCCATTATATATGATGTATCAAAGTGCATTCTACTGTCATTTATAACTAATTAAAACAACAATTTAAAAATAATCATGTATGGCTTTAATAGTTACAAYTGTCATCCATTGTATTCATTTGTTCACTTAAATAATGGCTATAGAAGCTTCTCTTCTAGTTGTGGTGCCTCTAGACAAGGGGACTTTGAACCAATCTGGTAGGTTCAGCACATGCTGGGGCAAACCTGATGACCACTGTCCCTCCTAAACCTCTTCTTCTAACTCAGCTGTCCCCAACAACCAAGGACCCTGCTCACCAAACTGTCCCGGATGCAGGGCTTCTCCACCAGCCTCCGGACTCCATTCTCCACGGTGATTCCCAGCCAGTTGAGTGCTGCCCAGCACCAGAGGTAGTCATAACCACCATGCCAGAAGCTCACAAATGCAAACGTGATTGCAGTGGAAAAGAGCATCCACAACAGGCCATGCTGGGACCCACCCAGTGGAATGTACACATACCTGGAGAAAGAAAATGCGGTGAGAAGCCATGACAGGGGACATACCTGCAACATTTCCTGCTCCTGGGCTTACCTCTCCCTGGCCACTCACCGAACCCAGACCCTTTGCTACTTCCCAAAGGCCACAGACCACTCCAAATTCTCTGTCACGCAAGGAATTGGCCAAAAACCCAAATCTGTAGGGCTTTAGGTTAAATGAACACAGAGGCTCAAGAGCTCTCATTACCAGAGCAATGTAGCACTTACAAGAGGTAGGGAGAGAAGTATTGAGTTCACTTCTGAAAGGGATGCACCCAACCCTGGAAACCCAATCTCAGAATGGCAATTAAGCTGCTGGTTACATGGGGGCACCAACCTTCAAAGCAGGAAAGTACTCTGTAGCCCAAAATATTTAAGTTCAATTGCTAAAACCAGGCCCCTAAATGATAGGACCTGGGTGAAGAAGAGGGGTGCAAAGGCTGGTTTCCTTAGTTTTCCAGGAAAGCTGCCCAGACGCCAGAGTGAATTTGCTAATAGAAAGAAAAGCTCTGTGCTTACAAGGCAGCCAAATCACCACCCAAACACAGAACCATCCTCCAGTTATGGTCTCCACTGCTAAAGCTGCAGGGAGAGGGGCAGAACTACATTCTTTCATCAGGACCTTGCTGCCTGGGAGGGACAAAGCTCACACCTTGGGTTTTAGAACCAAGGGGAGCTAGGAGCATGCCCTAGCACGCAGCAGCCTTTTAAAGAACCCATAGGCCTTTATTGATTTATGGTTAGTGCTTCTTTATCACACCTTCCTCCAGGAAGGAAAAAGAAGCGCCATTCTCATTCTACACAGTGTATTCCAAGAACTAGACACTTCATGTACACTTTTTGATTCTTCAAAGCACCATATGGTTTACACTACTGTCCTAGCATCTTGAAGAGGTCAGCATTTGTCCTCTTTATATGTTACTGTATTTTTTGGAACAAACCTTAGTTTGAAAATCATTTTTAATAGAATCATTTACAGACAGGCAAGTCAAAAAATAAATGAAAACAAATTAGCTCATAAATAAATATGCCAAAAATTACATGATTATAATTTTTTTTACTTAAGACAAAAAATGTACATATTAATAGGGTACTGTGTTTTTAATATGTTATACTAGCTATTCAAACTTTTGTCATTTATGATGAAAACTTTCAAACTCTTATTCTAACTTTTTTTAAAAAATGCATGCACATTACTAAGTATTGCTGCCTACTGTACAATAGCACCAGAATGTCTTGCTCCTATCTGTGATTATAATTATTCATAAATATCCTCCTTCACAAAGACTATCTCCTTGGCTAAACTTCAGTGAAGCTCTGATAAACCCTCCAGACCTTGACCATAGTGTCATATTTTGGGGGCATCATCCAGTTGCAGCAAGAATCCTGCTCAGTCTAGAGAAGACCCCTGACCTTTGATGATATCTGGTCACCCTCACCTGCTTTCAGCAAGATTTTTTTTAACCCAGGATGCTTAATCACTGAGCCACATCCTCAGCCATTTTTTATATTTTATTTAGAGACAGGGTCTTGATAAGATGCTGAGGCTAGCTTTGAACATCACAATCCTACGGCTTTAGCTTTTTGAGTCACTGGGATTAGAGGTGTGTGCCACTGTGTCCGGCTCAGCAAGAATCTTGTTACGTCTGTTTAACCAGAATCCCCCTCTAATCCAACATCTCCTCTTAGTATTCTTTCATCCGAAGGCCCCCACTCTGCTTGTTGGCTATATCTCATTTGTGCAAGTTATATTCAGAATTGAATATAACACTGAAGTCTTTTTGCCCTGATTTAATAGTTCTTCATAAAATTTGTTTTTATAGAGGCCAAGCATGGTGACACATGCCTATAATCCCAGTGAGTCAGGACGCTGAGGAAGATCACAAGTCTGAGGCCACACTGACCAATTTAGGGAATTAAGAAAAAATAAAAGGCTTTCTATGTGGCTGAGTAGTAAAGCACCCCTGGGTTGAATTCCTTGTATGGGGGACAGGAGGAGAGAAAGGGAAAGTGCGTTGAAGGAAACAGTCATTATGGATAGGTATGGTGATACACACCTGTAAGTCCCAGCCACTTGAGAGGCTGAGGTAGGAGGATCCCCAAGTTCAAACTCAGCCTTAACAAACTTGGGAGACCCTGTTTCAAAGTTTACAAAAATCAAAAGGGATAAAAGATACAGCTCAGTGGTAGAGCACCCCTGGGCTCACTCTTCAGTAATCCTACCCCCCAAATTTTTGTTTTTACCACTTTAAAGCACCRTCTAGGTCTGGTTTTCCCTTAAATGCCCTTTAGTCTCAAACATACTGTAATTTAGAGAATAATCATATGCTCACCTTAGAAAATCCCATTTTATAAATAAGAAAACTGAGGTTGTGAGTTAATTTGTCCATGATACACAGCTGGGAAGGGGAAGAACCAAAATATAAATCTGCATCTATGGCACCAAAGTTAATGCTTTCTGTCATACTTAAAGGTTAACTCTCAAAGCCCTCTTTCATACTAGTTGGAAATGATTAAGCCCAAAGGAGAAAGTACTCATTTCTAAAATAAGCAGAGAAAATACTTCCTCTCATACAAAACCAAGACCATCTTCATGGCCAACTCAGCAAACACACACCCAGGACTCCTTATATTAAGGGATCATACTTCTGCAGTACTGTAGCTATTTAGGCCTTCCGGGCAATTTTGGCTTTAGGACAAACAGACAAGATGTTGCTCCTGCCATGAGTACAGGTACACCTGGCTATGGTTTAAGACTATGGAAGAGAAGGGGACAGAATGGCCAAGTCACCACTTAACTCAGGCTTAGAGGACGAGATTCTTTCTCTAGGCAAAGGAGAAAAGGGGATGTTGCACCAAGGACACACAAGAGTCGTGGGGGGCATTTGCACAAAAAGCCCAGGAAAGCTGGGGGCACAGGTCTTAGTTGGTGTTCTGCTGCCCCCTAGAGGCTGAGTGGTTATTGGTGTGAACACTCAGCAATGGCAAAACATGGGCTACAAATCCCAGGCTGCCTCCTACCTGCACCAAGGTAAGTGCTGCCCTTCACTTCCCACAGTGTTGGTAACAGCCGGTACACATTTAGTAATTATGACTAAGTGACCACCTTCAAAAGTATGAGGAATGACTGTAGTTTATGGAAATTTCGCAAGTACTGATTTACAAAACAATTTATCTAATACTCCCCTCCCCCAACACACCTGTTTTCACATAGAGATTTTTATAGTGTGCAAAAGTGAGCTGTACTGTGTATGTCCAAAACTCCTGGAAAGAATCAGTCCCTCTTTTGTTCCATACGGATAGCACTCAACAGCTGATTCAACTCCAAAAGGGACATGTTTTTCCAGCTTGTGATGAGGATGCATCTAACCCCATGATCACATGCACAACTATTTTAGGCGTCTCCTGGAACCATAGCTCTGTTACTTTGCCTTCAAAATGACAGCTGACAAAAATCTCTGAGAATGCTTTATTCCAGAAATTCATATATGGCAGATCTCCAAGGACATGAGGCTGCTTGTTCCAAACCGTAAGAGGGTATCCTTTCCAGACTGGAAGATAAAATCTCCTCTTCCCTCTTATTTTCTAGAGGGCAGTGCACCAGTTTGGTAAGGGGGCAGTGAACGGGTGAGTTTTACAAATTCTATCGCTCTTGTGTCTGTTCTGTGATTAATAAAATCAGAAACATGTCTCTGTTTTTGAAAAGCAATCATGAGACCCCACTTACTGAGATGTGCTGCATGGTGAAATTGATTTCCCACTGGAAGAAGGCAATCAGAACCACTCTCTCAGCAACAGCAAAAATAAAAGATTTTTTTCTTGCCAGGGATTATGCGAGTCAGTCTGTCCAAGGCCTCTCCCTGCCTGGCCAATTTCATATGGTCACTAATGCAGAGAATGTCGCTTGAGGAGGTGAGCATCCATCTACAACCACCTTAATCAAAAACCATCTCATGAAATCAATGCTACATAGCAAACCCCCAACCGAGGAGACTGAATTGATATAAAATATGAATGGTACGGATAATACCCACCTTTCACTGAGTGCCCATGATCTGGGTTCTTTATATATTCTGTTTCAAATCATTAATACAACCTGCAAGGAAATAATAACTTTTTTTTTAAACACACAGGAGATATAGAATCTGAACCTAGAATGTTCTACTGCGCTATTTATCACAAAGGGAGCATTTCTTTGGATAAAATAAAAGGAACATTTATCCCTATCTTCAAATCAGTTTCCTCAGAAATATTTACTAGTCTTGACTGAAAAAAAAAAAAAAGTCCTTTCTAGGGAAGAAGACTTGCTCAGAAAAATAAAGCTTGTTATTTATTAAAGGAATTGGACCAGTGACCTGTTAGCTACTATTCAGTGCCAGAAGGTCAGAAGTAAAACTTCCATTGCTGAACCGACTTAATAGTTGTCTTGATCCCACGGAGATGACACCTGCTATCATGGCATCTTGCAAACATCTGTCAGAAGTGGGAGGTAAGAAGTTGGTTGGGGGGAGCTGCTGAGTGAATATACATGAAAACAATCTCCACCTCCCTCACATCCACAATGAAAAACAAATCAAGAACATGCCCTGAGCATGGGAGATGGGCAGTGGGAATCCACATGGTAAAATCCTTTGCCTACAAAATAGTTCCATGTCTTTCCACATTATCTCTGAACCCATTTCTCCATACTAACCCCAAGGCTCCATCAAGGTAAGAAGATGAAGCACCCAAGATACTCATGAACTTGGCTTTCACTGTCCCATGGACTAAGCCCAGGTGAGCTTGCAGGTCTCCAGTGTCCCATCTCCAAGGACTTATTGTTTGGCCAAGTTGGGCAGGTAGCTGCTGCCATCCTACTCAAGCTCTGCCTTATCTTTCCATCTGTATTTCCTTTATTCTCAATTTAGCTCTCTCAGCAAATCCTAAATCCTMAACAGAGGGAACTTTCTCATTCCCATGCTTTTAGTCATTCCATTTTTACAT